TAACATTTTATAAAGATAATAATTAAGTATTCTGTTAGAACTCAATGATTATCCTAATTATATTTTAGATTTTTTATATTTAAAATAAGATGTTTATCTGCAATTAGTTACATGAATTCAGATATGAAGCTTTAATAAGTCGTAGTTACGCACAATCTACTTGTAATCTTGAGTTTTAAGTAATATGCATTAGTAAACAGTACTTTACCATAAAAAATAGTTTTTATCAAATGCTTTATAATATAGTATAGATTTTTTATATTTTAAAATGAGATGTCTATCCTCTATTTGATTATATTTATCCGCAGTTGGTTACATGAGTTCAAGCATGAAGTTTTAATAAGTTGTATTTATGCACACTTTACTTGTAATCTTGAATTTTAAGTAATATGCATTAATAAACTGTACTTCATGCATAAAAAATAGTTTTTAAAAATTTTTGTCAAATGCTTTATAATATAGTATAGATATATCATATATACATATAGAGAGAGAGAGGGGAGAGGAGAGGAGTAAAATGCAAACCAACTCATTTGTACAAACCGTGAAAATTGTCGATTTTATTATTTGATTTAGTACCAAAAAAATTATGAAATTGTTTGATATGATCAAATTATTTCAAATAGTTCATTTTTTTGATGAAAATGTTTTAAATATTTTTTTTCAATGTGAAAATTAAATTGTTTCATATATTCTTATTTTTATGAAATTTGTTCATTAAAATTAATAGAATAAATATGATCATGTCCATAATTAACGTCTTTGACTAATCAGCTCTCGTAATTACAAAAAAAATAAAAAATTATGATTCGTTTGTATTCACAATTTCCAATGATTTTGTTTTGTAACTGAAATACAAATGTGAAATCACAATAGTAACCGTTTGTTTTTACTTGTTTTGGTTTCTGTAGCATTTTAACAATTATAATGCTGATATTTTTTTTATATAAATCAATAATTAACCAATTTTATAAATACCAAAGCAGAAAGGCATGTTTTACAGTGTTATAATACTAGAAAGGTATTCACATAATAGAACAAGATAAATCTCGATTTTTAATATTTAGTTTTATTCTTTGTCTCTATCGATATAATACGATTTTATGTGTTTTTGAGAAAACGATAATGTTATTATTTTTGAATGAACTATAAATTTGAAGATAACATAAAAATTTGAAAACAAATAAATCGACATTAGCATCAAATTAACTATTTGATAGTTCTCATTTTTTGGTGTAATTTTCTTTAATTCAAATTAACTATTTGATAGTAATTTATTTTTGTTTACCAATACAATTTTTTATAAAAATAATAATTAAATATTATGTTATAACTCAACGATTATCTTAATTATATTTTAGATTTTTTATATTTAAAATTTATGTTTATCATGTATTTGATTATGTTTTCTGCAGTTAGTTACGTGAATTTAAAAATAGAGTTTTAATATGTTGTATTTACGTAAAATTACTTATAATCTTGAATTTTAAGTAATATGCATCAATAAACAATACTTCATGTATAAAAAAAAGGTTTTTAAGAGTTTTTATCAAATGTTTTATGAAATAGTATAGATAAGTAATACACATCAATAAACAATACTTCATGCATAAAAAATGATTTTTATGAGTTTTTGTCAAATCATTTATAATACAGTATAGATGCGTGAAATTTAGAAGTTATTAAATCGTTCTTGTTGTTAAGAATTGATATTATACCTAACAGAAGCGTGTAATGCAATGAATAGTTGTGTTCAATGAGGTAACTTACAATAGAAGTTCATTGATCCCGATAAATACCGGCGTCATCTTTAAAGGTAGCAATGCATAAACAAATAGGATTACCGATCTGAACAACAAAATTGCCTTACTGATAACTTTCATTTTCAGTGTTATTTACGTACTGTTTGTGTCTTTCGTCCATTTTTTTGTGCAAAATGGTTGTGTTCTTCGTTTTATTTATCTGCATTTGGAGTTATTGAGGATGAAGATTTGTGTTTTGATGATTGGACGCATCATTTTTTGGTTAAATATTGGATTGCAGAATGTGCCCACTGCGGTGAGCGACGTAAACTTGAGGACAATTGAAAGTAAGGTTCAAACATCGATCGAGGGTGGTGTTACATACGTACACGAGCATTCTCTATATACTGTATTATAAATGATTTGACCACTTTATTATTTTAAAACGATCATCGTGTCTGATGTATACATGCACTGCTACTTTTGTGACATTGTGGACATAAATGTTTTCCGCTACCACTTACTCAAAGCGTATAACAAACATGCTCATCTAGTTTATACTGCCAACTATTTAAACCAGTAAATAGTCTACATGTGGCACCGATCGACAGCAGTCAACAAGGTAAAAACATGACAATTCATTAACACATGGTATTACTGTTTTCTATGTTATGTTGATGTATTAAGTAAAAGTAAGCAAAATCTCAATAGTTGTATCTCGTTAATAAGGCTATACTAGCAAAAATACAGTAAACGATGATTGTTTTATCATAAAAACGCACAATCAAAAGAGCATGCAAAAAGACACACACATATAGTTGCCATTGTGAAAAACTGCATTCTATATGTGTATCGATCATGATGACAGTTAACTTCATTACCGTGATTTTTGCGTCTTAAATGAAATAAACGAGCTATAATCGGCGTTCCCTGAACTGAGAAGTCGTTTTTTGAGGAGAGACTATAAATTTTCGGGACTTTTATCTAAAGGTCGGCCTGATCTTAGTCCCCGACTCACCCTCTGTGGACGAACTTCGCGGTTTCGGTGCGGGCCGCGAGAGCGGTAACAAATCGAAGCAGTCTCTGTTCGTTCATAATACTTGATTATGAATGAAGTGATTTACAATGGAAATGTGTAACACGGTCAATTGATCTTTTATATTTTATCAGTAAAATGAAATAAAACAATGATAATATTGATTTATAAGATTATTTTCTTTTGTTATTTTCACAAGCAGTTTATGCATTTGTTTTTATTTATATTTTGAAAAATATTTTTTTTTTCTGATTAACCTGGATATCCAACCTGCTATTCGAGTCAACTAATCTCACTACTTTGCAGGTAGCTCAGAGTCATTGCATTTGAACCTCTGTGGTTATAAGAATATTTTTATTCATAATTGAATTTGAACATGAGACCTCTAGACACTTTTGACTCTGAAGCCTAAGTTCAAACCAATCAAACACCACTCTTGTGGTTGAAAAATAACTTTCAAAACCTTCTTATTAAGGAACCATTTTTAAAGCTTTTTTGTTACGTTTTATTCTCGAGTGTTTTTTTTTCTTACGAGAAGAAAATGTTACCTGCCAAGCGCTACCAACACCGGTAAGAGTCGTCACTCTTACTTATCAGGTAAGACTCTCATTCATTGTCTTATGACTTCAAGTATCATGGTAAGCACTTAGCCTCTTACCGGGAAAGATTTCGGTCTTTACCATGTTAATTCGATAAGCTACATGGCCTGCTAAACGCTCCAAAGTCGATTTATTTTGATTTTTAAAACTATTATTTTAAAATTTAATTTCACAGATTATCTATACTATATTAAAAAGCATTTGACAAAAACTCTTAAAAATCATTTTTTATACATAAAGTATTGTTTATTAATGCATA